CCCTGTTCAAAGACACTTCCATTTAAAAATAATACTTCTTTGCCAAGTGTCTCCTCTGTGTCCTGAACAAGGCAGAATGAGAGGTGTGGGTGTCAGCTTGGTGTGCCCCCAAGAGAGCTGTTAAAGGCTTGAGAACTGGGCTCCCTTGTGACTTAGGGGTTAAGTCTCAGCACTATCACCTCTGTGGCCTGAGTTTAATCCCAGCCAGGGAGCTCACCCACATGGTGCAGCAGACCTCTCCTGTCTCGTCCGCTGCTCCCCTCAGCAGTGTATTTCTGTCAATCTGCCTGTTCTGCTCCCCACTCTGTCCCTGGTGAATTTTCTCACCCCTGCATCTCTGGCTTGCACCCCAGTTCTTGTATGCATAAATTAATAAAAAATATCTAAAAAAAAAAAAGGCATGAGAACTCTCTGTTCCAATGCCAATGGTTACCCAGTGTTGCCAGCAGACCTGAGGATAAGTGTAGAACAAGCAATGTCTTGGGGGAAGCAGTGTGAGTAATACCTGGCATGATAGTTGGTGGGCAACAGACAAGCCAAATCCTTTGATAGGATTAAGTCTTGGGTGGTTTGTGATTCCCATTTCCCTGCAGCCTAGTGCAGAGAATGAGAGTGTGCTCTCATCCAGAGAGGGCTACAGCCCCAACTTGGGCAGGTCGTAATACATCATATTAAGGAAGCAAGCTTTTGTTTCACTCTGAGCTTTGATCAGGAATTGCTATTGATGTTTTTCAAATACCTAATTTTCCTATTGGACATATAAATGCAATTTCAAATGTGAAAGACTGGCATTACTGGTGTTTGAGACTAGATTTCATATCCAGTTCCAAAAGTGGGATTGGTCTATAATTTTATTCTTTGTGTCTTTCCACTCCCCTCCCCCCTTTCAGTAAATTATGCGGCTTTCTATTTAATTTTAGGTTCTGGAATACCTTATGGAAAATCTGGGGATTATTTCTTGAAAGCCTGAAAAATCCAGAAAGCTTCTTGGCCCAAGAGTTGAAAAATTACAAAATATACAGTACACAGATTTTAAGTGTACAGCTTACTGAATTTTATACCCGTGTAATCACTGCACAGATCAAGGCATAAAACATATATCTCCCCAGGAATTTCCCTTGTACTGTCTCCTAGTCAGTGCCCACATAGGTCCACAGGTAAGCCCTGTTCTAGTTCCTGTCACCATGGATTAGATTTCCCAGCTTGCGAACTTCATGTAGGTGGAATGATCTAGTACTATTTTTGAGTCTGGATTTTTTTACTCAATAACAAGTTTTTGAGGTTTGTACATTTTGTTGTTTGAATCATCATCGTTCATTTTTTAAAAATTGCCGTAAGGTATATCATGGAAATGAATATGCCATGATTTGCTTATGCATTTTCCTGCTGATGGGTGTTTGGGTACCCCAGTTTCAGCAGCTATGACTAAGGGTTCTGTGGAAAATTCCATTATACTACCTCTGTGGACATCTGTTTTTATTTATTTGGTGGTATTTCAGGAATAAAATTCCTGGGTTATAAGATAGGTGAATGTTAAACTTTAAGAAACTGCAGTTTGCAAAGTGATTTTATTAGTTTACATTCTTACCAGCACTGTAAGAAAGTGTTAATTGCTCCATATTCTTGCTAACATTTGATATTGTGAATCTTTTTTATTTTAGCCATTTTATCATTTCTCTGATGAATAATAACTTGACCATCTTTTCCTATTTTTTTGGCTTATGCACTTAATTATTCGATATAATTTTTTCTTTTATCAATTTGTTGCCTAAATTGATATTTAATTTTTTCCTACTTATTAAAGATTTTATTTTATTTTATTTTTAAAGATTTATTTATTTATTTATTTATTTATACAAGCACTGGGTACAGTCAGAAGTGCGGGAGGGTGAGAGAATTCACCAGAGCCAGAGCGGGGAGCAGAACAGGCAGAAGGACCCAAGTACACTGCTGAGGGGAGCAGCAGGCGGCAGGAGAGGTCTGTGCACCATGTGGGACCCTCGCTGGTGGCCGGGGATCGAACTGGCGCTGCAGAGGCTGCAGGCAGCTTCGCAGCCCATCGCTCAACCGCTGCGCCACCAGTGGAGGCCCTTATTAAAGATTTTAATTGTCTATTCAGATACCATGTATTTTATTGAACCAAGTTTTCCAGTTTGTCTCATCCAGATTTTCAAATTATTTGAGGAGTTTTAAAATTTTGCTTTTGTGGCTTTATCCTTTTTCTTATTCCTAATGTTTATCCTTTAATAATTAGATTGGCCAATTTTATCTGTTTTGTTGAGCTTTTGATAAAGCTCAAATTATTTTATCACTTTTATGACTTTGTGTTTTCCATTTTGTTAATATATACTTTTAACTTTATTGATCACTTAATCCTATGTGTTTGAATTTTGAGCATTCTTTTCCTATATAATTTTATCTTAATACTTTATGGACTCATTTTCATTTTTTCTAGCTTTTTAGTCAAAAATGGACATTGTTTTTTTTTTATTCTATGAAGAAAAGTAGTATTTTCCTCCTGAATAGAGCTTTGTTGATTGCTTTTTTGGACATAAACTCTACTTCAAAGTCTTATTTAATGTCTAAGTACATAACATTTTTGTATTAACTTTTTATATTGCTGCATTATGTTCAGATAGTGTGGTCTTCACAACTTTTTTTTAGAGATTGTAACTTCTGCCACAGTTTAAGTTACTTTATTGTCTATTGCATGGTAAGCAATACTGGTAAATGATTTTTCTCTCTGAAATCAGTCTTTTCATACAGAAATATGTAGCAGCTAAAGGAGGTCAAATATATAAGCAGATAGCATGCTCACAGTGAGCAAGTTAAACACGGTCCTTGCTCTCATGGAGGGTCCTCTCTAGAGGTTTTATGTTAAGCAGCCTTATGAGACTTGAGCTCATGACTCCATATTTAGGTGCTGGGGCTCTAATTGCCCGACCAGGGAAAAAGTGAGCACCAGCCCATTGGCTCCAAGGGATCCAGGACGCAATGGGGATCTCAGCATTGGTTCCCTGTTTGGTTTTCTGCGCAAATGCTGGTAATTTATTTTTTTCTGTCTCTGAAATCAATCTTTTCATTAAAATCATCAGCTGTTGGCAAAGCATTACAAAAATAAATATTAAAATACGGTATTTTTAACAAGCTTTACTCTTTTACAGTTTTACTCTGAATCAAGACTTGTTATCTTATCTCCCTGCCTTCCTAGAGGCATTGCCAAGCGTTCTGTTTTGGGGATCCACTGACCACCCCCCACCCTTCCTCTGTTCCTCAAGGACATGTCTTTTTGGTTAGCTGGGAAGAAGTTTCCCTTCACTCCCCAATTCTGGCAAAGACATTAAATTTTTTTTTCTGTTTCATCTTTTTCTTTAACTTCACATCTTTTTATTGAATTGATATCTTTTTTTTCCCACCACCATCCCTTATGCCTCTTGGCCCTTTCTCCCTCCCCTTTCCTCCTAACCTCAGAAGCATCACTTTGTTTATTAGTGTCTGCTAATTTTTAAAGTGTTGCTTTGTTGAATCATTTGCTATGTAAATGTCCAATATTTTTCTTTGTCATTCTGTTTTACTACACATAATTCCCTCAAACTCCTTCCATTTTGTTGTAAATGGCAACATTTCAGCTTTCTCTAAGTCTGAATAATATTCAGTTGTGTGGATATACTGCAGCTTCTTGATCCAATCCTTTATCCATGGGCAGTCACTTTTTTTTTTTAACCAGAAAATTCTGTCCTCACACCGGGGCTTAGGTTTCTGTAAATAAAAACCAGGAAAACATGTACACTATTTATGCTTTCCTGCCACATCTCTCTCCTAAGGCAACGAGCACAGAGCTGACTATGAACTTCAGTAATGAGGAAAAGTGAAAATGAAGAACAAGGAAATCAAATTATTAAAGAATGCATCAAAAATTACTCTATTTGTACTTTTCAGTACGCTCACAAATTGAGAGAGTTCAAGAAGCCATTTAGCCTCCCATTCCTTGAACTGGTGGCTTTCCAGCACCTATTTCATGGTTTCGCCTGCTTTTGGACACCTCTACCCAAGAGCAGTCTTCTGCTTGTCCTCAGTCTCTGTTCTTTGACCAAGAGCGGGTGGTTATATTTATGGATATACTCGAACTGTTTGCAAGTGTCTATAATTATTAGAGATGCCAATAAAAAACTTTTCCCAGTCTCTCCCTGCAGCATGTTTTACTCCTAGAACTCATTCTGTTTGTGCTCCCATCTGAGATTTTTCTTGATGGCACATGGCAACCTGTATTGTGTAACCAGGCCCAGAAGCACCCTGGTTAAAAGTCAGGATCTGAAGTTAGACTGTTAAGCTAATGTTCCAGATCTGTTGCTTTATAGATGTGGTAACTTGGGCAAGTTATTTAATGCATGTAAATCTCAACTTTTTATCTAAAAAAATGAGGGTAATGGTACTTATTTTTTTGGCTGTGTGAAGTCAATGAGTTGATACGTAGTTAGCCTTTAATCCCAGTGTTTGGTGAGAGTGAGCACTGGTGGATGTTTTCATGGTCTTATTATCACTATCCCAGCCATTGTGTTCACCACCACCATCATTGCCATTCATGAGTAAGAAGGATGGTGACCAGTTTCATGGTTGATATACAATTTCCAATCCTAAGCTAGAGGCATCAGAAGTGTTTTCTTAGATGACCTCCTGCATGATTTCAGATCATGCTGACCTGACTCAACCCATGGTGTAGTTATGGAACACTCTTATAGAATTCTGGTGATTAGATTTCACCCATAACGTCATACACTTTGTAGTTTTTCTTCATGTAAATATTTACATCCTTGGGAGAGGACAACTAAAGTACTGAACTTAAGCCCTTTTGACAACAAGTATTCATATTTTAAAGTATCTTTTGAAAGTTCTGCCATATGTAATATGTATAGGATTGTAAACATATATATGAATATCTGTATAGGTTCATATTTTCATACAAATTATTCTTCATTTTAAAAAGGCAAAATGAAAGCAACATGAAAATGGGAAACGAAACTGTCATATCTGAGTTCCTCCTCCTGGGCCTGCCTATAGAGCCAGATCAGCGAGATCTGTTCTACGCCCTGTTCCTGGCCATGTATCTGACCACTGTCCTGGGGAACCTCCTGATCATCATCCTCATTTACTTGGACTCTCACCTCCATACTCCCATGTATTTGTTTCTCAGCAATTTGTCTTTCTCAGACCTCTGCTTCTCCTCTGTGACCATTCCCAAATTGTTAGAGAACATGCTGAGCGGAGTCCCTTCCATCCCCTATGCCGGCTGTCTGATGCAAATGTACTTCTTCCTGTTTTTCGCAGACGTGGAGAGCTTCCTCCTGGTGGTCATGGCCTATGACCGCTATGTGGCCATCTGCTTCCCTCTGCACTACACCACCATCATGAGCCCCAGGCTCTGTGTGGCCTTGCTGGTGCTGTCCTGGGTACTGACCACTTCTATCTCTTTGTTACACACCCTACTCATGGCTCGGCTTTCTTTCTGTGCCGATAATGTCATCCCTCATTTTTTCTGTGACATGTCAGCTCTGCTAAAATTGGCTTGCTCTGACATTCAGATCAATGAAATGGCGATATTTATCTTGGGAGGGCTTGTCATTGTTGTTCCTTTCCTGTTGATATTTTTGTCCTATGCACGAATTGTGTCCTCCATCCTCAAGGTCCCTTCTGCTAGGGGGATCCGCAAGGCCTTCTCCACCTGTGGCTCCCACCTCTCTGTGGTGTCATTGTTCTATGGGACAATCATTGGCCTCTACTTGTGCCCTTCTGCTGACAATTCTACTGTTAAAGAGACTGTCATGGCTGTCATGTACACTGTGGTGACCCCCATGCTGAACCCTTTTATTTATAGTCTGAGGAATCAGGACATAAAGGGAGCCCTTGGAAGAATCTTTTCAAAGAGGATAATTCACTTTTCTCTGGGGCAGTGACTAAAGGTGCAAGTATGTGTTCACACAGCCGGTATAATATTCATATGAGTAGTCTTCTAACTAGTCTAATAGAATCTGTCCTGAGCACTGCTAACATAGCTTCCCTGACACTTCCATGGGGAGCACTCCCCAGTGTCATCTGGGGAGGATCCATTGTGCTTCTTGGGTGTACTGTACGCTGAAATGTTGGATGTGATGGAGCACAAGGACTGACATGTAGTGGACACTCAATAATTATTATTCAATGTTGAATAAATGCCACTCTAACCTCGGTGTTTATTGCACTCCTAGAATGTACAGTGGTTTCTAATTCCTTAAGAAATGAATCCAAATTTCTTAGCCACATCAGTGCTTTGCTTTTGCCAAATATATCTAATCAATAAAGAATATCTTCCAATTTATTCAGTGCAAATTCTTGCAATTTTTTATTCTCCAGGATTGCAATTTCTCCTCTTGCTAACTTAATCAGTTCTTAATTTTATGTTCAGGTATTGATTCAAAGAGCACATTTTAAATTGTCTTTTCTTTTAACCAATTATTTGTCAATTATATCTTTTGATAATATCGATATTTTGGATGAGAATTCCTCTTTTGAATTGAAGTTATGTTATTTGGAAAGGGCCATAGTTTTCTATTGTGAATTATTTAATTTATAAACAGTTAAGTGGTGAGCTATATGTAGCCTAAGGTAACACAGATAATAACAGAAGGACTAGAATCTATTTAGGACTCACAGGTAGATTCTTTTCTTCTCTGGAATATTATGCCAAAATTATTTGATTTTTCTTTATTTCTTATAGCCAAGAATATTATAAGTGTCTGGAAGATAGGTGCTTTAATGCCCAGTTCAGTGTCTTGTAAATATTGATTTGATTTGAAGACATTTTCAAATGTTCCTTGATATGAATTTGTGCCTCAAAAATCCCACCTTTTGAAAGAAGTCTTCCTAACAATAACAATTTTGACTTTGTTTCTTCTTCAATTTTTTAATTTATTATGAAAAGAATGCACTTCCAAGGAATGTATTTCTTGGCATACAAACAACAAAGAAATGATAAAACAGAATGTATGTAGGGTCCCCCATAATTCTGCTTTCCTCCCATGAAGACAATTAGTGGTTGAATAATAGTCCTCTAGATATTCCCTATGCACAGATTACATATATACGTATGTATATATGAACACACACATATGTATAACAAGTAAATAGGACTAAATTATACATGATATTTCTCATTGTTTTCACTTAAAATATGTTTTTTTAATTCATCACTTCCTATAAAAATACTTAATTCTTTTAGGAGTTATGTAGTGTTTTGTTGAATGGATACACTCACCATAATTTATTTAAATAATGTTTTTTTTTTCTAAATAATCTGTTCTTAATGGGCAGTTGGGTTAGCTTCAGTTTTTGATTATTATTTTTTTTTTTTATAGAGGCATGCTTTATTTATTTGTTTGCTGGTTTGTTTGTTTGTTTTGTTTATACATGCACTGGGCACAGTCAGAAGCGCGGGAGGGCGAGAGAATTCACCAGAGCCAGAGCGGGGAGCAGAGCAAGTTTTTGATTATTTTTAACTGTGCTTCATTTCAGTTTTACTTCTTGATCCATATAGTTTCTTGTGAACTTCAGTTATATTCTGTGGACACATTCTTAGAAATGGTTGCACAGGATCAAAGCATATGAACATTCTGTAACTGGGTAGAAATTGTCAAGTTGCTTCCAGGGAAGTTTTACTAAAATAAACTCCCTTCAAAAGTAAATGAGACTGGTTGTCCCTTTACAATATTCTCAACACAGTATATTTTGCTTTCAAAATATTCACCAACCTGTTATCCAAAATATGAGCCTTTCTTTCTTTTATCTTAAACTCTGTACCTGTAGGTTAGGTGACAAGGATTTTTATACTGATGAACTAACTACTTTTCCTCTGGTGTTATCTGTTCATGTCCTCTGCCTTCAGTTAATTTTCTTTTTTTTTTTATCATAAATAGTGTCATTTATTTATCTTGTAAGTGATATTTACCTCAGTTTGTTATTAATCTTTTGACTTTGGTGGTGATGTATTTTTCCCTTACTGAAGATCATAAATTTCCAAATAGACAAATAGGTTGATTTTTACTTCCATGTATGCACTTTTCTTTGACTCGTATAGAAAGGTTTTTCTGTCTCAAAATTATATTATTCCATTCTTTTTCCTTTTTCTTGTACAGTTTTAGCTTCTACCTTTCTATCTGTGATCCATCTGAAACTTGAGGTAAGACAATCACTCTTTTTTCTCTTTTTCCCATCCCAGTAAGTCAGTTGTTCTATCTTCACTGATGTAAAAATATTAGCGGTATAATATACTAAGTACTGCTATACATTGGAATATATTTCTGGACTCTATTATATTATATTAATGTCACTCTATTTTTGTACTAGTACCATACCAGGTATACCTTCATAATAATACACTGTAAATATCTTGTGTGACAAGCCTGCCCCAATTTTGTGCTCCTCCAACTTTTCTGACACATTTATCCTTTCAGATATGCTTCAGATCTATTTTGTTAAATTCCAATAAAAACCAGTTGGAAATTAATTGAAATTACATTACTTTTATGGATTTATGAAGAATTGACTATACAGTTGTTTTACAAACCATATAAGGAGTATATTTCCATTTATTTGAGTTTTCTTTTTCTTTTTAAAGATTTATTTATTTATGCATACAAGAACTGGGGTACAGGCCAGAGGTGTGGGGGGTGAGAGGGGTCACCAGAGACAGAGTAGGGAACAGAACAGACGGATTGACTGAAATTCACTGCTGAGGGGAGCATCAGGCGAGACAGGAGAGGTCTGCTGTGCCATGTGGGTCAGCTCTCTGGCCAGGGATCAAACTCATGCTGCAGTGGCTGCGGATAGCTTCATAGGTTGTATTTTATCCCCTTGCGCTACCAGGGAGGCCTTATTTGAGTTTTCTTAATAGAATTCTATAGATTTAAAAATTTGGTACCTGCATATAATTTTCTACATTTGTTCCTGGGAATTTTATATTGAAAAATGTTGGGAGGAAGGAATCACTATTGTGTTTTTGGACAGGTAATTTTTGTGCATAGGAAGTTATTGGTAATTTTGTGTATCAATTTTGCATCAGTTGCCCTTACTAAATCCTCTGTTTTCTAACAAAGATTTTCAGTTAAATATCTTGGGTCTTGCAGACATACAATCAAAACTAACATAAATATTGGTAAGTATTCATACTCCTTTCAAATATTTAGTTCTAATCTTTTTTTTTTTCCTAATTGCATTGACTACCACTTCAAGAATAGCACATAATAATACTGTTTCTAATGAGAGTTTAGATGTAGTGTGAGACTTTGCTTTTTGTCCCCCAACAACCAGTGAGTTGAGGGGGTGATAGAATTTTCCACATAGTTTTGGGCATTGGGGTGGGGTATAGTGAATTTCCCCTACTTGTTGGGAAGAACTCTGGCAGGAGGCAGCTTTGCAGAATAGCCTACTGCTGCATGCAGCAGCCGCATCATGGCAGTGCTGGTCTGGGAACTTGTCTGAAATTTCATTTCTGCCTCCACATGCACAGACATGAAGCTTTCCAGCCACTGGGACCATGCAGGGCTGAAAAGCTCTTATTCATGCTGGTGGGATGCAGACAGCGGGCTGGAATCGGGAGCCCGTGTGTCTCCAGAAGCAGGGTAAGGTGTGAGGAGACCCTGAGCAGTGGCTAAGGTTAGATCCCAAGCCAGATGGAAGATATCACCAAGTCCAAGGGAATCAGTAGTACCAGTGAACCCTGAGAAGGATTCAGCTTCCCCTCAAAAGAAAAATCATGTATTATTTAGCTAAGAGATGTCGATTTCCATCGACAGTGACATTAGCAGAGGCTCCTGAAATCAAGACCATACATAGGCTTGCAAATCTAGAAAAAGTGTGAAGTCAACACAAAGGAAATGAATGAATTAATAAATAAGAAAAGTTAGTTGAACTGAAAACCCAGAAACAAAATAGTAATAGTAATCTAAATGTTGGTTCTTTGGAACTAATACTGTACCAGATAAAATTTTGGCAAGTACAACAAGAATAAAAAGATAACAAGTATAAAGAACTCTAGGAGTGTAACAGGAGAAAATTAACAGCTAAAAAATACCATTGTAAAATTATGTGAATATGGTATATAAAATGTTGGCAAAGTTATATTTTAGATATACATATTGCTAGAATTTGCTCAACATGATGAAAAATATTGACTATACTACAAATCTTTGAAGAGAATAGTGTCTTAGTTTGCTGATCTTGAAAAAGATCAGTTGGTTTCTCTAAGCTGTTTTTTCCTCTTAGGCAATGAGAATAATAATAATGGTATCTTCTTCCTGTAATCTTGTGAAGTTTAAACGAGACAAAGACAGTTAAGGCAGTGATGGATATATAGTAAGAATCTGAAAACATCAGAAAAGTTAGGGAATGCTAAACCACAGAGCATTCACTGCATATGATTCTATATCATGAAGTTAAAAATGAGAAAGTTCTTTTTGTAGTGATAAGAAAAGATCTCCTGGACATACTGTTTTATGGAAAAAGGAAATTTAAGAATATATAGAGAATACTATTTATGTTACAAAATGATAGACAACACACAGAGAGGGGGAGAGAGAGAGAGAGAAGAGAGAACTGAACTTTTAACAGGGATGGCAGTGGAAGTTGGATTGGATGGTAGTCAATTTTACTTTTAAAATTTATCTTTATCTCAACTTTTGAATTCTTTCCATGAAAACAATGGCTATAGTATTTAAGGAATAGAATAAAATTTTTAAAAATGCTTCAGCAGCTAGATCTTTAGGGAAGTTTCCGCAAAAGGAGTCTGCAGAGGTGGGTTGAGACACTGCAGTACATCCAAAGACAATCTCTTTAAGACCCTCCTCAGACCCCTACTGCTTCTTGGCTTTCCTCTGTCCTCCCCCTGCTGCTGGTCATACTCTTCTGCCCCTCTTTCCCGAAGCTACAAGATTCATTCCCTACTTCTTTGTTTTCTTTTTGTTTGTCCAGAATTTAAAAGTATACTCTCTTTCAAACATTCAGACATAGTTTATTGCTATGAATCCATTCCTATGAAAAAACAGTCACATATTTTGCTTAGGGTCTAATTTTTAATTTCACAAGGAATAAGAGACTGTAGCATCAAAATTGCTAGCTCTTTGCAAAGCAAAAAAAAGCAAAAAAAAAAAAAAAAAAAAAAAAAAAAAGGGCCTCCCCTCTGCAGCGCTGGTTCGATCCCTGGTCACGAGTCCCACATGGCGCGACAGACCTCTCCTGCCACGCCCGCTGCTCCCCTCAGCAGTGTACTTCGTCAGTCTGCCTGTTCTGCTCCCCGCTCTGGCTCTGGTGAATCCTCTCACCCTCCCACGCTTCTGACTGTACCCAGTGCTTGTATAAATAAATAAATAAATAAATCTTTTTTTTAAAAAAAAGTGAATTATTTAAAAAAAAAAAAAAACAACAAAACCCAACCCCCCTCCCCCCCCAAAAAAACCCCAAACAAACGAAGAACACAACAACAAAAAACCAAACAAAATAGGCGAGGGGTGCTCTTTTGTAATCCGTATTGTTGAAATGCCAGTGACCCAGCCCCACGGTCATTGCTCCGGGGCTGCAGCCTTCCATCTAAGCCCCCTTTTCAGGGCACCTTTGACCTCTCTGTTGCGGAGGCTGTAGATGAAGGGGTTCAGCGTCGGCGTGACCACTGCGTAGACCACGCTGGCCAGGCGGTCGTACCTGGCCGAGTAGGCCGAGGATGGTCGGAAGTAGACGGAGAGCACCGAGCCGAAGAAAAGCGACACCACCACCAAGTGGGCGCCGCAGGTGGAGAAGGCGCGGCGCCGGCCTCCGGCCGCCCGCACCCCCAGCACGGTGAGGAGGATGTGCGCGTAGGAGAGGGACACGAGGAGCAGCGGGGTCAGCACCACGGCCAGGCCCTCGGTGAAGATCGCAGTCTCCTCAGCCGTGGTGTCCGAGGTTGCGAGGCTCAGCATCACTGTCATGTCACAAAAAAAGTGGCGCACAGAGGCGGAGCGCGGGTAGGAGAGCGCGGAGATGAGCAGCGTGTGCAGCAGCGAGTGCAGGTGGGCCAAGACCCAGGACGCCGCGACCAGCAGCGCGCAGCGCCGAGGCGTCATGATGGTGCCGTAGTGCAGGGGCCGGCAGACGGCCACCGCGCGGTCGTAGGACATGGCTGCCAGGAGGTAGCTCTCGGTGATGCCCAGAGCCACAAAGAAGTACATCTGGGCAAAGCAGCCCTCGAAGGACACAGCCTGGCTGGGGTGGAGGAGCCCGATCAGCAGTCTGGGGACCGTGACGGTGGTGAAGCAGACGTCCACCAGGCTCAGGTGACCCAAGAAGTAATACATGGGGGCCTGGAGGGCCCCGTCGGTCCTCACCACGGCCACCATGCTCAGGTTGCCCAGGCCGTTGAGCAGGTAGACGCCAAGGAAGAGCAGGAACAACAGCGGGTGCACGTCTGTTCCGTCCATCAGACCCAGGAGGAGGAACTCTGGCCGGGTGGAGAGATTGCCCAGGGCCATGGGGTGCCTGCACAGGTGGGGGTGCTGCAGGGAGAGACCAGGCAGCAGACCTGAATTGGAGCACCTCTCGGTGAACCTCTGCATAGTGGGGCTCCATGTAACTTTTGATTTTCTGCTTGCTGACATGACTTGCAAATCATTAGGTTCACCCAATATTAATCATTTTATGTAGAAACTGAATCTCAGGAAGGTGTTTTAGGGTAGTGAGTAGGCTCAAGTTTTAGAGTAAATCAGACCTGATTTGATTTCTGGTTCCACCACTCAGTGTGGCCACTCAGAGCTTTATTTATTTTCCTCCTTAAGTGAGAAAAATACTAATAGCTACCCCTGGGGTTGGTAGTGAGGATAAAGTGGATAATGAACTTAAAATGCTTAGCACAGTGCCCCCACACAATAGGCACTGTTTATGTACCAAAACTGTACATCTACCCACAAACTACTATCCATCCATATCACCATTTACTTAGTCAAACAAGTTGGGGTGAAATTGGGACCCAGGCCATCTGAATACCAGATGGGTATAACAGTTTGTTCATAAAATATCCTACTGCGTTTACCATTCATTTGTTCACCACATATTATGTGTTAGCTCAGAAACTGGCAAACCTTTTCTACAAAGGATCACATAGTAAATATTTTAAGTTTGTAGACCATTTAGTCTCCCTTGCAACCACTCTGTCTTTGTAGTGTGGAAACGTCCATCAACAATATAAATGAATGGCTATGGCTCTTTTCAATAAAACTTTATTTATAAAACAGGTGGGGGACCAGATTTGACCTGTGTGACATAGTTTGCTGACCCCGGTGCTAGGTACTGTGGGGAATAGGGGGGTGAGTGAGTTTTAATTTCTGCCCACAAACAATTTGACCTAAATCACCTTGCAGAATGTTTTGTCCTTTGCTAATTTTAAGAAACAAGTAGAAGTAAATTATTCCTCCAGCAGGAATTTGGAAAGAATTGAAAGGAACGGGATTTTGAACCAGGTCTTGGAGAACTAATAGGATTTCACTCAGCAAGATATGATGTGGGAGGGAGAGAGCATTCCAGATAGCTGGAAGAGATTTTGGGTTGGGAGTAGGGGAGGCATGAAATGAAGATGGTAGAATAGCTACATATGATACGGGACATATGTAGCTCTTACCTCAGTTGACAGAAAACATCAGTATCTCAGTTAATCAAGTGACTTCAATGATATCAGAAACAATGCACTCATTTTGCTCCTAACTCAATTTCTCCCTTAAAACACATTCTTTTCTGGGCCTCCCCTGGTGGCACAGCGGTTGAGCACTGGGCTGTGAAGCTGCCCGCAGCCTCTGCAGTGCCGGTTTGATCCCCGGCCACCAGCGAGGGTCCCACATGGCACAACAGACCTCTCCTGCTGCGCCCGCTGCTCCCCTCAGCAGTGTATTTCGTCAGTCTGCCTGTTCTGTTCCCTGCTCTGGCTCTGGTGAATTCTCTCACCCTCCTGCACTTCTGACTGTACCCAGTGCTTGTATAAATAAATAAATCAATCTTAAAACAAACAAACAAACAAACAAACAAAAAACCACATTCTTTTCTCTTATTGCTCCAAAATTTCTAGAAATGTTATTACTAGTCTAGTCTGTTTCCACTTTCCCAGGAAAGAGGACTAGACTTTGCAGAGATCCCAGAGATTGGATTAAATCAACTCTTAGTAGGGATGCTTCTTATAGGAAGAGCTGCATCTCACCATCTTGTGTGATGCATACAGAATTTACCCAGCAAATATTTGCTGAATGCTGCTTATTAAAGAGCAATGAGTGAAAACAGAAAAAAGGTGAAGGGCGGGAGAAGAGAGGAGATGATGGGCAAAGTGCAGTGTTCACTCCTGTCATTTACAGGAGAAGCTCCAGACATGTCCTGTTTCAGTTTTCTGCTTTTCAGTAGCCATTCCCGGCTGGCTGTCCCAGGGAAATCATCTGCTTATGACAACCCTACCCTGTCTGGTGGAGAGCTGCAGTGCTGCACAGCCAAACTTTGGCATGCTCCAATCCACCCTCTTTTCTGGTGCAGGAGTCTCCTCTGCAGAACCCTTCCCTTCCCACCTGCCTGTGCACAGCTTTGGGACATAGAGGAAAGGATGCTGGCTTTGGAGTCAGCGCTGCCTGGGTTTTAGTCCCGACTGGCTGTGTAAACATGGCCTTCATTTCCTCTTTATTCTCTGCATCTATAAAATGGGCATATTGCTTATTCCTCTCTTACATGGTTGATGTCAAGACTAAATGAGGTACATAACAGAGGATGGATGCTCAGCTGACACTGGTTCCCTTTCCGTCAACTGCTGGTGGTTTCTCCCTGTTCCTTGCCACCGGCAGCAATCCAGCCCACTGATAGAGGGCTGTAGTCCTGGCATTGAGTTTTTCTTTTTTTTTTTTAAAGTTTTTTATAAAGTATACTTTATTTTTTTTTTTTTGAGTTCTTTCTTGTTTCTTTTTTTTTAATTAAATAATAAATTTTATTTTTATATTCCCCCATACAACTGCACATGCCCCATTCTGACCCCAATCCCTCCCCTCCCGGCCCCCACCCCCCAAAAAGTGTCTCTGGTTCATAGTTTTTTGTTGATTTTGATTTTCACTTTCTTATAGTTATTCATTTTCCTGATCCCTTATTTAAGTTTTCTAGATTCCTGCTATGAGTGAGACCATCCGGTATTTTTCTTTTTCTTTTTGGCTTATTTCGCTGAGCATGATCCCTTCCAGCGCCATCCATGTTGCTGCAAATTGCATGTGTTTATCTTTTTTGAATGCTGAGTAATATTCCATGGTATATATGTACCACATCTTCTTGATCCAGTCATCTATTTTTGGGCATTTGGGTTGTTTCCAAAGCTTAGCTATTGTAAATAGTGCTGCTATAAACATAGGGGTGCAGGTGCTCTTTGGAATTGATGTTTCTGTGTCCTTTGGGTAAATACCTAGGAGTGGCATTGCTGGCTCATATGGAAGCTCTATGTTTAGTAGGTCCAGAAATCTCCACACAGCTCTCCATAGTGGTTGGACCAGTTTGCATTCCCACCAACAGTGCAGGAGAGTTCCTTTTTCTCCACAACCTCGCCAACATTTGCTGTTGCTAGTTTTTTTAATATGTGCCATTCTCACTGGTGTAAGATGGTATCTCATGGTATTGAGTTTTTCTTAATCTAAGCTGAAACTGCTTCCTTGTAACTACAGGTGATGCCAGTTTTGGCCACTGGGGGCTGCACGCCAAATCGGCATTCTCTAAAGCTTTTCACACAGGGGTGGTTGAATCTATTCTAGGTCTACTGAGTCTTCTTTTCTTCAACCCCAAACACCCTTGGTGCACTATTCTTTTTTAGCGGATTCAGTGACCCAATTTTCCTTTAGTTTATGAACGTTGTTCTTAACGGGAGTTGAACTGAGGTTGGAGTTGTGTGGAGGTGTACACTTCACACCTGCTTACTGAATGCTGACTTTGAGGCTGGCATTGTGTTGGGCTATAGACCTATAAAGGTAGGTCAACTACTGTCCTTGACCTCCAGACATGCACAATGTAATACTACCACTCTAATGGTCTGACTCAAGTAGATTTCCTCTCCTTGGCTGATTCAGGGAAGATTCCAAAGGAGAGGTAAAGTGTGACCTGAGTTTAGAAGAGTGAGTAGGAATGACCAGATAGATAGAGCCCTGGGGGTGGTAAGGGCGCAGAGAGAATGTAAAGGCAGAGGCAGATGTTTTATGAAGTGGGAAGAGCTAAACATGGCCTTTTCCTCCCCTACCAATGTAAGGCCGAGTGGACGTGGGGTGGGGAGGAAGCTAGGACTCAAGGCAAGAAGACAGGAGAGGAGTGGCACGTTCTCTCACCTGAACGGCAGCATGCTAGGCTTCAACACTGTCTGCGGAGTCTAAGGGCTGGTCTCCCTCCTGGCCAGAGGTCTCCAGGCTTGAGGGCAGATGCATTGTCATCCATCAATGCCCAGAGACTTCAGTGTATTTCCGGAGAGTTGTCACAGTGGCCTTTTGAGAGAGAGAAAGCCCAAGCAATAAGGGTCCTAGGAATTTCCGAGTCATGTTCTTTGCCCTCCACTCTGCCGCACTGTCAGGCTGTTTTTTGCCCACTGGCTACAGTACAAGATACCCAGGTCGCCCTCCAAGGCTTCCAACATGGTTCCCCGTATTCTTCTCCAGACTTCGCCCCCATTACTTCCCCACGCTTCCCCTCACCCCGCCCCACCAGGTCAGCCCGGTCACTGTCTCTTGTTTACACTTTTCTCACATGCCTGTCCCACACTGCTCACTACCTGACTGCTTCCTACCATAGCCCAACACTTAACTCCAGTTCTGCCATTTCCAGGAAGCCTATCTTCTTTCTAGATTTCTCCAGCCCACAGAAATGCCTCCCCCACTATCTTCACTGTGTTACTCATTTGGAACTTACCATCACTGGCTGCTGTTAAAGTGATTTTTCACCCCCCTACTCTGATGCTCACCTTCCCTACTTGGCAGAACAAATATTAGTTGTCTTTTCCCATTGGCTGCAAGGCCAGCACAGGGTTTCGTATTATTAACTCTCCTGTCAGCCAGGGAAGGCTCCACAGAGCAGGTGGCATTTGAGCAGGACCAGTTTGAAGGACAAGACATGAACTACACAGATAAGCGTGGAAGGAAATTCTAGAAAGAATTCTAGTATGCGCTGAGGAAGTGACATGAGAAACCCCAGAAAAGTTACTTAACCTCTTTGAGGTTATATGCCATTAATATGTAAAACAGTGGCCTCTCCTTGTGGCACAGCGGTTGAGCTCTGGGCTGCAAAGCTGCCTGCAGCCTCTGCAGTGCCAGTTGGAACCCTGGCCACTGGTGAGGGTCCCACATGGTGCGACAGACCTCTCCTGCCACGCCCGCTGCTCCCCTCAGCAGTGTATTTCTTCATCAGTCTGTCTGTTCTGTTCCCTGCTCTGTCTCTTGTGAATTCTCTCACCCTCCCGCACTTCTGACTGTACCTAGTGCTTGCATAAACA